ATCAAGTGGATAGTCTATGTATGGTGCACCACGAATTATTCTGCCATGGAATAATTCCTTGAAATACTGTAAAAAAGAATTATCGAAATTGGGGAGGGGATTGTTAGCTCTCACTAAAACCCTTTCACATTCGACTTTTCTCGCATACAAGCTCACTTTGGAATTTTCTCTCCTCTCTGATTTTTCCCCATCTTCTCTCATGTGGCTCTACTCTTTTTTCCCACTCTCAGCCACCTTACTTCCTTCTCTTTTGCTCTCCTTTTTTCGCTCCTTATTTTTATTCTCGGCTCACTCTTCAATTTCAGTTGGTCATCTTGGACCTGTTGTGGTGTCAATGGTACAAGAGTAATTGTCTTTCCACCCATTACAAAGCTGTACCAATTTGTGAACCCTTCATGTTTCACTCTCTTATCATACTGATATGGCCTACCCAACAAGAGATGTCCCGCGTGCATTGGAACCACATCACACAACACCTCATCATTGTACCGTCCAATGCTGAAATTCACCAAGGCCCTCTTGGTAACCCGTATTTCCCCACAATTATTCAATCACTCCAATTTGTAAGGTCGTGGATACCTCATAAGAGGTAACCCCAACTCCTCTACAAGGGTTGTACTAGCCACATTTGTACAAATCCCGCCATCTATTATCAGACTGCACACATTACCCTTAATGTGACACCTGGTATGAAACAAATTCTCTCGTTGCTGCTCCTCATCATCCACCTTCATTTGTGTAGTAAGAGAACGCATCACTACCAATGACTCCGCAACCGGATACTCCACAATTATTCAATCACTCCATTTTCTCGAAGAATCATCATCCATTGGTTTGGACACTGTGAAGCTATATATGCCCTGAACCCAAACACTTGAAACATTTAATATCCCTCGACCGACCAGTTTGATTTTCAATGTTTTGTTTATTTTTATTCACCTCCTCCTTAACCTTAGGTACTTCAACCTTTTCCCTGGTCTCCCCTTGCTCAATAATATCACCACTAAAAAATATGGGTTCCGTAGTAAACCCAGATACCCCTTTTCGTCTGAGTTGCCTCTCCCC